AATCAAACTTCCAAAACTGCTTCAGAAAGTAGCAAGGATAACGAAATAATTGAGTTCAAAGGAATAAGGGGTATTGTAGGGAAATTCATGGCAATGCATTGTGATATTACTGTAATAATACATTTTGAATTTACCCATTCACCACGCATCTTGGCCACACCCTATACCTTAGATTTCATGGAGACCCATTTAGGCTGATGCTGTTGTAGGGAGCACTGGGAGACTTGGGCTGGCCTTTGAAGGAGAGTTTGAGATGAGCTTACAAGACCTACCCGCTCACCCCTGTCCCTGTGTGTCACACTTCTTCACTGTCACTTGAGCTCAGTGCTGCATGGCTGGGCTGCATTTCACTCCCCAGGTCTTGAGGACACCACCCTTTTTTTTATTCTTGAGGCTTTGCACTGGCTGAGCCTCCTGCCAGGAAACTCTGCCCCCACCTCTCCCCAACCCAGCTCCTTTGTTGTCAGAGCTCCTGCTGGATGCTGCCTCTGCCACACCCAAGTGCCCACGCTGAAGCAGCCCGACCCCTTGCCACCTACTGCTTTGTCTCATCTTCTCCTCTTCCTAGCACATAGGGTTTCTGAAATTACCCCACTGCTTTCCTCCTGTTCCCGTCTGCTGTCTCTTCCAGCTCCCTTCTAGGACATAAACACAGTGGAATGGGGTCAGTATTTGTACCTCTCACATTGTTTATGTGTTATGCTAGCACATAAACAATCAAAAGCACCCAAAGGACTAAGGGAAGAAAGAAGGAAGGCAGGAGGAGATGGAGGCATGCCCCCTCCAGCAGGGGTCTGTTTCGGCCCATTCTGTGGCTGTGGAGACTGTGGCCCTAGAATGGCCCGTATGTCCCCACTCTCAGCACCATGCTGGTTAAGAGCCTCCTTGTCCAGGAACAGAGGATTATGGCACTTTATCCCAATCATCCTTTCACTGGTGTGGGTCCTTGGGACTTGGGAACAATGCCGTCTTCATTATTTTTCTCTCGTTGCTGAGACAAAATAGCTGATGCCCAAAATTAAGGAAGGAAACGCTCTTTTAGCTCAGTCTGTGGAGGTGTCAGTCTATGATCACAGTTGCCCCAAGGCAAGGAGGTCTGGCAGAGGGGCAATGGCTCATGGTGGAGACAGACAGCAAAAACAGCAAGAGCAAAAAGGGGAGACTGAGCCTCTCCCCTGCCTTAGGTATGACACTCACGCCATCTCTGTGCCCTCCTCTTGCACAGGCTCAGGATGTTAACAAAATGAGAGCCTGGCCCCTGCCGAGTTGCTTAGTTGAGCTTCTTGAGTTGACAAAATGAACAGCATCCTAGAGCAGCCAGTAGGACCAAGAGTCACCTAGCTACACTTAGACTTCTCAAAGTGACACAGCACATCAACCATAACAGGGGCCACATGGTTTAAGCCATAGGTGGGCTGTATCTGAAATAATAAGTGTTCACTATTCCTCATCTTATCAAAAATAAAGCTCTCTAATGGACTATCAGTAGCTAAATACTAGCATGAGAAAGCAGGCAACCATTGTTCCTAATGCGTAACTGTTGTGGAACTTCACTCGTATTGGGCTGCTTTTCTTATTTTCCCTTTAATGTTTATTGGATCTAACTGCCTTCTAAAATGCCTGCCCAAGGGGCCAGAGAGATAGCTCCATGGAATAAGCGCTTCCCTGGCAAGCACAAGGGCCTGAGTTCAATCGCTGGTACCACCCAAAAAAATTAATTGATTAATTAAAAAGCCTGCCTCAGCTGACACTAACAAGTCCCTGTCTCTCTGCCCCTGCTTCCTTGCCTTACAAAGACTTGCAGTAGCCTAGGCTGCCCTCATGAGTAATGATGACGCTTGTCTCGAAGAGCTGCAGGCGTAACCCCTCCTCCACGTTGCTCCAAGTCTTTTCTCTCTAAATTGCAAGGACAGGGCCACTTTTGTTGGACTCGGTCACAGTCACAGCAACTGCCACCATAGTTACCTTTTCCTTCCCATCAAAAGGGAGGAGCAGCTCATTCTTTCCAGCCCCTTGCAAAAGCGTGCACTTTCTTCTAAGACTACATACCTCGGTAATTTTTCTCTTTTGCTTTGAAGTTAAAAATAACAAAGAGCACAATTATAGCAATTTTCCTGGCCCTTACAGTTTGAGTGTTGCTTCTCCCAAGTCGTGATTTCCTGTGTTTTTACATTTTTCCTAGAACTGATCTCTGTATTATCTTCCCGGTACTTGCTGTCCACTACCCCCAGGTGGATGAACAATGTGATAATATCCATGCCCCTTCCCAATAGCAGTCACTTTGGTACAACTCAGGAGCCACTATCCCTTGAAAAGGCTGGTGAATTGAAAGGTATACAGATTAAATACTTCTCAGTTGGTTCCCTTAGCAACAGTTACAGGCTGTTTCTAGTAAAAGCCCAAGTTTCCATCCTAAGCTAAACAGAAATTTTTCCATGTTTTTTTCTTAGCTAGTATTAGCTAATCAGTTAGTCACGAGGCTCTGACATCTTCCAGAGAGCAGAGCACCACTCAGGAACTGTACATCAGCGTGGAGGAGTGGCGAAGGTCACCTCATCATCTGTGACCTTCCACGTACCAAGCTGAATGTCTAAATGTGATTAGCTAGAAAGCCAGGAGTGCAGCTCTCACATGATCGGGCCGGTGGTGAGTCACCTGCCAGTTATAGGAAAACAAGACTGTTCTTGGTATTTGTTATCTCTTCAGAAATCCTCGTTGCTGTGGCGATTTTGATGCCTTTTAGCTATAAAGTAAAAACCCAACATTTTATACTAGCATAATGAATAAACACCAACTGTATTGAATGCAAAGGGTGACAGTGTGGCCAAGACTAATTTTTCAGTCCTGAAGGTCCTAAACCTCCCAGCATAGAGACAGCCATCATCAGACCGTGGTCATCACTCTGCCTGCCAAAGCTGGACCTTGGGGCAGGTTCCAAAACCTTGTTTTCCTCATTTGTTAAGTAAGAATAGTAGTGATAGCACCTTCTGCTGCATGGATCAAGTGAGCTGATGTTTAGACAGCATTTCAAACAGCGCTGCAAGCTGGGCGTGGAGGTGTACAACACCTATAACCCCAGCACTCAGGAGGCTCAAGAGAGGAAGATCCCCAGTTCAAGGTCACCTTGGACAACATAGCAAGACCTTGTCTCAAAAAAAAATCCCTAGCCTGCACCTAGGAATAGCAATGTAAGGATGTGTTCAATTAAGTAAACATACTGCATAGCGAAGCCTGGACGTTAGATGCCTTTCAGGATAAAAACCTACCAAATGCCATTTTCAAGTCCATAAACTGTAGTATCTTTTAGTCTGATGCTTCTAAATATAAGCTCTCAAAATTGTACAGAAATATGTACAACCGAGAGTGCAAACTCCAGTACTGCTTTAAGGGAACATCTAGCATCACACCAGGGACTACGTAATGCCCAGACATCTATGTCTAAGGTGTGTGTGCCTCATGACAAGCCATCTTCGTAACATCTTATAGTACAAATTCACATATTATTAACTATAGAATTTATTAGAATATGATTTCAAGAGTTAAGCTAGAAGACTTGGACCCCAGCGCCTCTGCTGCTGAGCTGTGTGTCCTCTGCGAAGCCCCCGGAGCCCCCAGTGTACGAGGTTAGCGCACTGATAAAGTGAGTTCTTCCAAGCAAATTGCTCAGCAGAGCTGCATAATAAAAATGAACTGTTGGATGAGATCATGGTTACTCAGTCAGTGGGCCACATCCAAGTATTAATTAGTGCTTTATCTTCTCCTTACCAACCTGGCCAATCCCAGGGAGCCCTGGACACTGCATCCTGCCACCGCCACTGATGGCTCCCATCCCTTGTGTCTTCAAACTGCTGCCATGTTGATCTGGAATTTTCCCACAATGCATTGGCTTTGTCTTCGCTGTTACATACATGCTGAGGACAAGGACCAACTTGCTTTTCTTTTTCGTTCCTTGTCATTAGCCTTGTGTAGTGTTCTGAGCAGATATGATAGCCATCGTGCATTTTTTTTCACCAAAAGGAGGAATGGAATTCAATAGGAACTAAGTTGAGTCCATGGGTAAGTGGAAAATTTAAGAGAACTTCATAGAGAAGCTTTGTAAAACTGAGTGTAATGCCCTGATCAACTTGAAAGAAAAGAGTATAGCCAAAAACCAAGAGCAGGGCACTAACAGCATTCTCTCCTGTGGTCCTCATAATTAGAGACTTAGGGTAGCACCCAGCAAAACAAGAGGAAGGAATCGTTTGGATGAGTACTAGCTATGCCAGGTAAGTAGAGCAGCCCAAATCCAAAATGCTCACGGGAGATGTTCTCAAGAAGAGTGTGTGTGTGTGTGTGTGTGTGTGTGTGTGTGTGCGTGCACACGCACGCGCACATAAAGAGGCCAGTAAATATGAAAACCAAGACAATGCAACCAGATTTCATAAGGGCAACGTTGGAAAAATTCAGATGAAGCAGATCTCTGAAGGCTGAATCTAAATCAAGAGGGACTTAGAAAGATTCAGAGATTGGAACGTAGATGTAGCTGGTCTCCACCATTCGGTAAGAGGAGTAGGCTGTGAGAGGAGACAATGGAAGGCTCAGAGCAGGCATCGGGAAAGCATACAACATTCTTGAATCTGAAACAACAGTTAGAAACAAGCATCTGAAGGGCTGGGGTGCAGCCACTTACTATCCTGGGACATTTTTATTTCTGACTCAGCTATTGTCACGAGGAGAAAACAGAACTCTCCAGGATAAGAGACAGTGGTTTTCATTTTTCCTCACACCTCAGGTGTTTCATAAAGATTGAGACACAGGTTTGCATATGTAAAAAATATTTTCAAAACAATCATAGTAAAATGCTAGCATTACAATGTCAATATCTTAAGTTTTTTTTATAATTATCACTGTTACCTATATCCAGGTTCACACATACACGAAAAAAGGGAAAGAAAAGGGTAGGATTGTATAAAAAGGGTATGATTGTATAAAAATGAATCTTGTGCTTTATATCTGACTAGGTTCCTCAAGATGAGTGGACGGGGTACACCCCTCGAAGGAAAGACGACGAAATTCCTTGCCGAAGGATGCGTAGTGGCAGCTACATCAAGGCCATGGGGGACGAAGACAGTGGGGACTCGGACACAAGTCCTAAGCCTTCTCCCAAAGTGGCTGCCCGGAGAGAGAGCTATCTCAAAGCCACCCAGCCGTCCCTCACAGAGCTCACCACACTCAAGTAAGTGGGCCTGACGCGGTACTTCCTGTCATCTGTCCCACGGGCCTTTGCCTGGGGTCAGGCTGTGTGGCTCCAGGGGTTGGTAAGACAGGAGACCATCCTACCGGGTAGGAGGTCCAGGAGTGGGCAAAGCCCCAACTGTGTGCTGATTCTGGTGTCGGATCTGATTTGTGTGCCCCAGTGTCTTCCAAAACAGAGGTGTCCAAGTTATGCACTGCAGGGACCATAAGCTGAATCCCTAGTTACCAAGAAGAAGGGTTGAAGCAATCCAAAATGGGTTTTTCAAAGAAACAAGATTTCTAGTCAAGAAGAAAGTTCACCTATCCCAATTCTTTCCCTGGGTTCAGAAACTAAATGTACAGGGGAACTATTGCATGACAGAGACAGTTATCATGGAAAAGCATATAGAATATTCTCATACTTGAAAATTGGGTGTTTTATGAGGATATTTGATAAATGTGCTTAAATTTGTAATACATATTACAATTTTCAAGACTGTAAAAGTGGGTTTTGCTCTGAAAAATATAAAACATTATTGACAATAAGTCAACCTCGCCTCTGCTTGTACTGTCTGTAAACAGAACAACACTTGCAAGAAACTATTGAGATTAATTAATGACTTCAAGCAAGATGACTTCAACTTTAGTGCTGCTCTAAGAGTAAATCACAGCCTTGTAATGTAGATCAGAGAGCGAATCCCATTTGGACCTTAAATATATATTACAGATAACTAGTATTTTGAAAGTGCTCTTTGTTCCATATTTTGATGAAATGTGAGTCATTAGTCATGTGCCTATATTGTTTTATAAAGTAAAATATTAAAAAACAAAATGAACTAAAAAGACCAAAGCAATCAAGTGAAGAAAAACAAACCAGATTGCTAATCAAGAACAGGGGAAAAACAGCAGGCTATAATATGATGGGAATTTACTTAAATAGCAAAGTACATTATATTTAAAGAAACCGGACATGATTTTTTCTCCAGGGGACCATATGGAACCACTCTGGGTCATTTTAATCACAAGTTAATTCCAGCTGGCGTGGGGGTGCAAGCTTTAGCTCACGAGGCTGGATGGAGAGGGCTGCTGGCTAGTTCAAGGCCCGCCTGGGCTATGTATGTATCAAGGCTCTGTTTCAAAATAAAATAAAATCAGAAAAGCTGTTCAGTGATTAGCACTTGCCTGCCAACATGAGGCCTTGTGCTCAAGCCCCAGGGCCACAAATAGTACCAGCAATAATCGTAATAATAATAACACCATTAACACAGTAGTAAAATAACCTCAGAAGGAAGCTTTCCTTTCTTTCCTTCTGATTCCTGTTGTCCATGCTCTCCACCTTTAGGACTACCATAATAGATGATCAAAGCTGGATGGCTTGGAACAATAGAAATGTCTTGTTTCACAGTTCAAGAGGCTAGAAGCCTGAGACAGAAGTGGAGACCGGGTCGTGCTGCCTCTGGTCCCTGTAGAGCATGGGCTTCCTGGTCTCGTATAGATTCTGGTGTGGCCGGCAGAGCTCGGAGCTCCCGGCTGGCAGCTGCAGCCCTACCATCCATCCTGTCTGTGTCCTTACGTGGCTTCTCTCATGACACCAGTCATTGCACTGGGACCTTCCTACTGGCATCATGTAACCTGGGTAATCTGTGCAGACTTTGTCTCCGAATTCTGTGAGCCATAAGAGCGTCTTCACAGACACTGGAGTTAAGGTTTCACTGTAGAGACTTGAGGGAATCATTTGTGGGGCCTGTACCATGGCCGCACAAGGTGAAGCTTGATTGTGGAACCAGAAACATCAGCAAGTCTTCTTTGCACTCCTAGTGGGCTTAGAAACTAAATACACACAGCCTGAAAAGAATTGGATTTAAAAAGGCAGCTGGCCAATGCGGCACGAAATGGCAGTAGCCAAGAATCATTCTGGTGGATATCTTCTGTGGACCATAGCTTCTGGCCAGCAGTGATGGCCACGGTGCCAACTGACGTCAATTAGACCAGGGATCGCAGACCTTTTAGAGTTTTCAATGACAACAAACCACCCGCGTGCCACAGGTTCGCCACCACTGTTTCTAGGCAACCCAAAGGAAAGGAACAGTGGGTGGGAGGGCCAAGGAGAGGCCCAAGCCCTGTGTCCTCACGGGACCAACAGAAGGGCCTCAGCCTTCGGGGCCCCTCCTGCCACCCAGGGGTCCTGGTCTCCCTGATGCACTGGTCACACGAGCCGCATGCATCCTGGGTCTGAGTGATGACAGCTGCAACTCACAGCAGTCCACAGAGAGAAGGAGAGTGGGGCTGTGAAGGAGGGAAGGAGCAAGGAAGGCTGAGGAAGGGCAGGGCTACAGTGCACGCTCGCCCTGTGCCCCGCGTGGGCTCTCTCCTCACTGCTCCCGGGGTGTGGCGAACCCACTCAGGTGCTTCTGCTCGCCTTCCTTCTCAGCTGCCTGCTGCACAGCATCCCTCTGCTGTCATGGTCCACGCTCTGCAACCACCACGCCTTCTTGCAGCACCTGGAAGCTCTAAGAGCAAGGAGGCTACACACAAGCTTAGCGCCTGGGCTGGTGGCGCTCGGAGGCAGCTGCCTCAGCCAGAAACTGTGCAGCTATGAGCTCACAGCCCCTAATTTGTTTCTCCAGACCCATGGAGGTTCACAAAGGAAACCAGTTTTCTAAGGAACCTCACAAAAATTGGAACATATTGTTCTTTACCAGGAATGACGTTTCATCTAACTGCCTGTGTGGCTCCCTGCTCGGTAGCAGGCAAGAGTACCTCTGACCACCACGCCACCAAGTCTTCCTTCTCTATGACTGTCTCCATCACTTTCTGTGATTCCACTGAGTTCTGTTCATCTCTCCCTCACCTATTTTATGAGTTTCATTTATTGATGTACTACATAAGATGTGGTTGAAAACTACAGGGAATGTTTAATTTGCTTGCATATTATTATGGTCCAAGACACATCGCCTTGAGTCCCCTTCAAAGTGCTCCCCCTGCTTCAAAGACAACTATCCCCTGGTTCCTGCCACTTTCTGCAGCAACTCTGGAGTCCTCTTCCCTGAGGGCCTATAGTTGTGCTGTCCTGGCTGCCTCAATATCCTGAATCCATTCAAAACATTTGCTTTTCATGGTCACTGTGACGGGGTGGGGGGTGAGGGGAAGGCACATGGTGCCAGATCCGGTGAAAGGTGATGGGGACACACTGCCATCTTTTTACGGGTTGCCCTTCTGTTGGATGCAGCAGTTATACTCACCCTGTTTTTGATCACACTTTGTAAAGACATAAAGAAGACTTCGAGAACTGCTTCAGGAAGTGGCAAGAGCGATGGAATGAGTGTGTTGAAAGTAAGGGGAAGAGGGGCTGGGGAGATGGCTCAGTAGGATAAGCGCTTGACTGGCAAATGCAGGGATCTGGGTTCAATCCCCGGTTCTGCAAAATAAATAAATAAATAAAGTAAGTAAGTAAGGGGAAGTATTCTGAGGGAGGATTGATGGCAGTGTATTTACTGTAATAAACTTTTTAGTTACACATTAATAATATGTGCTGATCATATCTCACATCTTAGCCTCCCATCACCCAGTCACATATGACTATTAATGATTTCTGGTTTAATTGGATTTAATGAAATACGCAAGGAGAAAAGGTAGCAAAATTTCAGACGTGACATGACTCATAATCAATTCTGTCTTTTATTCCTTGATGGTGTTTTGACTAGAGATGATTATTTTTCTAGAAGTTTGAAGCATTTAGTCCCCAATGAGAAAAAAGATACCCATACCCTGGAATTCTGGTTCCCAAAAAAAGAAAACTATATTTATGTTCCTACTTCTTTGACATTTAAGTCAATTTTTTTCCTCCTTCCTCCTCAGCAATCCACAGCTTTAGGGATGACTCATCGCCATGAACCAAGATAACTAAAATTAGTCCAGTGAGCTTGGGACAACATTTTGTTTGAGGTTTTCGACTCCCTTCTCCTCAGAAATGTTGGGGAGAAGCACCGCTACACTTTGCGTTGCTTTTCTTTCTTCTTCCTCATTTTCTGATTTCAAAAGGTAGCCTGAAGATTTGTTTTCCAGGGCTGGTTTCCATCTGTTATTAATTTAGGTGGTTGAGCTGTTGTTACTGTTAGCCTTCAAAGTTACAAAGCCAAAGGTCAGTCAGACTTTATGGAGTTAGGAAAGTGGGGTCCATCTTTGTAGCCAATTCTGAAAATGATTGTTTCTGTCATTCCACCTCTTATCCCACGGCTGGTAGCAATGCCCTTCACCCCACCTCACTAGCCCTTCCCCTTCCTTCGTCACTAATTAACAGTGGGTTTGAAGTGGCTCTTCACCCCAGAGTTTAATATTTCCAAAATGAGTACCTAAATGTGGAATAGTAAATTTTCAGGAAAGTAGGGGAGATATTTTGCAGATAGTTTCCTCAAAAGAAGTCACCATAGCTTGGGTCAGATGAAAAGCTTAAGTGTTTTAGTTAGAGTTCTATTATATGGTATTTATTCTGGTACTGAGACTACTGTCTGATAACATGAATTAAAAGCCAAACCAAACTAATCTTGGACCTGCCTTCAGTGTATTATAGAAGGAACTCCTTAAAACTAATAGTAAGAGAGCTGGCTTTTTCTTTTTTTAATGATAAGTAAATAATTTGCTTTTATTGCTTTCTCTTTAAAATTTAAAAATAACTTAAAAGTTGTAGCCATTGCTTTTTTTTTCCATAATTCTATTGAGAAACAAATAGCAATGAGACAGTTTCAAACCAAATTGGTAGGACAGTTTCAGTGATTAACACATTGCATACATTCTTCCTAGTGGTTAATTGCTGTAGAAGATGTGGACATGATATCCTATTTACAAACACCGTTAGAATAAATGCCTCTATTCATTAAGAGAATGTAACTATATATCTATCCTAGCTACTTTGAATACACAGATACAAAATGGACATTCATCTGTATCCCCTTTTATTGTTAAATTCCATCATTTAAATATTATAGGTATGTAAACTCAGCA